TTCACGAAAGACCATGTAATCGGAAGTGACCCTTAACAATCTTTTTATTGAGAATCCACGACTGTTTATACGACCTTTCCCAATTGCCGATCAATCTACGTTCGAAACAACGGATGTCACATCACTCAACATCGGCCTTGTACTCCGATGGACGCCCGGCGGGAAATCATTTGTTTTAATTCTGTCAGTCTGCTCAGAAATGAGTTCTTTATTTGACACATCAGTTGTATATTTATTTTGACCCTAACCGCTTTGAAAAGAAACATATTTTTTGTCTAGTCGTGTTTTCCGTCATTCCACGAGTGTCAATTTCTACTTCCGGGTTATTGATCATCCCTGTATGTAAGACTGTAAAATTTTAATAACGCAATTTATTCAATCGCCGCGATATTTGCATAAACGTAATCGATACAACACTCCGAACAATCTCATATGAGCTTACACATGGGCTTGGCATGTCCGTGTACCGTTGTCTTATAGACACATGCATATATGCATATATTTATATATTTTCATATTTTTTTTGAAGTTCTTCTAAAAATCTCTTTGGCCATTGTATGTAGGAGTACCAGTAGATTGCACACGTATATTGAATAATATCATAGACCTTAGCAATACTAAGCTATATGCTATCAACAAATAAAATCACGTTGGTGTATTGTTTAGTACATATTCGCTGATTTTAAGACATTTCAAGCGAAAGAGGCGGTTGTGTATATATTCCGTCCGTACTCAACTATTTGAGTGGGCGAGTTAAAACAGAACACCGATGCGGGACTGTAGAAAAAAAAGTGTGGTTGCTTTTGATGTCAGTGAACCCTGTTTGAAATAACACAGTGAGTGAACACGCATGTAATTTTTGGTCCAAATCCCGCAATTCGGGCCGCGGTCAAAACAGCTATATCGTCCTAGATCAGTATTCTCTTCTTCTTGCAACATGGATATCCAAGAATCACTTCTCACGTGTTTCACGTGTTTATGACATCTCGCTTTCCCCAATGGCGGTAATGGTGGGGAAGGGGGGGGGGGTAAAACATGAAAACATCCGGTCTGTGAATTCATGCAACTTACCCCCGCTCACGTTACACATTTCCGAGGAAATCGTTTCTTGTCAAAATTTGTGATAGATGTGACAAAGTCGGGTCAAAGATTTAAACGCCTGTCACAAACTGATTCATATTTCTGCTTCTTAGTTTATTGCCATGTGTAGCATGGTATACTCACAGTCAATGAACTTCGTATTGACACGAGAATTCGTGATTTAGTGATGATGATATAAATAACAAAGACATTGATCACACACCCTGACAAAATATAAGATAGCCAAGAAGAAGTATTTTGTATCAGTGTTTCATACTTTGAATTGAAAAAAAAGGATATACATAAGAAAAATATATTGTAAGACTGGTTTTAAATTTATTATTTATAAAAATGCTCAAAATGACATTCTTTTACAGATACGTCATTTCCGACATATGTTTCGTTCCAATTCGCATAGCTAGTATAATATACCACAGCTTCAACGAGCCAGTAACTGTTCACTATAACCCTAGGGATAAACTGTAGATAAACTGTTGATTTGAAAACTGAGAGAACTAGAGAAGTTGCAGTTGCGTGAAGAAAAATTTAATTAGTATGCACGAGCCGGTATAATCTCAGGCACACGCACCCGAGAAAATATTTTCCTTGTTTTCAGTTGGTTTTAGCGTCACTGGCAAGAGGCCTTTTATTAGGATGGCACTAGTATATGAATATATGTATTACCAACTACTTGGAAACAATTTTTGAATCACTGAGTCTCGAAAGGGATTTTTTTCATCTTCAGTTTCGAAAGTCGTCCACATTCACCATTCACAATGAAAAGTCATTGAAAATCAACAAAAAGCTCAAATTTTTAAAATCGGAAAACGTAGGCAGCCATACAAAACTAATGACAAACATGAAGACATTCGCTAGTACTTGTGACACGCCCCTATAATATTGCCGGGGTCGTAAACCCCTAGATCTACCAAAGTTATACTAGTATGGTGTTTTTCAATTATTAGACCATTTTTCGTTGACTGTGATATTCCACGGTATGCAGGTGTCCGGTCAGCGCTGTTCACGCATTACGGTAGCCAAGACATCGTGTTAGGACCACGACACTTTTGGCGCTGTATTATCCCGAGATCGTATGGGCATACACCACGTTCTCACGTGATTAGTCTGAATGGTTAACACGTATTACTCGTGTATCTTGAAATTTCAAAGTTGCATTTCAACTTTTCCCACTGACCCATGTCACGGTAAGCAACATAACAACTTCGGATTTCATGGGAAATCTCATCCAACAAAATCCTGAAATTTATTTACTATACTATAGTAGTCTTGAGTGATTACAACAATGAAAAAAAATCATGCTTGAGTTGTTTATTACACGCCATACCACTCTGTACAGGATAGCTTCAGTGTTCTAATATTTCATAATTTGTTGCCAAAATAATATTAATTTTATAATTGTTCATAGTGATTACAATGGTCAGTGAGAGTTATTCTGCATATAATACAACTTGGAAATGTAACTTTAAGTTTAGGCGTTTTTTTTTTCGTTTTTTACAAATACGAACAGTTTGGCACATAAACAGTGACGTCATTTAAACATTATTATTAAACAATAACATGCGGATTTTGTCGTTCACTGTTTATTGGGTTCTCGTGAAAGATATATTTTAAATAAATTTACTTTTTAACAACAGTAAACGAAAACACAAAAAGCACAGTGCAAGCAGCAATGGTGCAAATTTGCCAAATACTACTTAAAAACAACATGCGTATGTTTTGTTCATGCCATATTTTGTTCTTGCAAAGAGACACCTTTCTACTTTCTTTTCAATGTTTTTTTCGTTTTATCTTAACAGGTTACACATATAAAAATTATATAGTTTTTCTTTTGAGTCGCGTTTTGTTTTCTTCAAGTTTGCGTGACGAATCACTTTGACTATTCAGCTTAATTCACCCATCTTTTGATATTCACTCAAATACTGTCTGAATACGCTTCTAATCCTTATAAGATAGAATTCTTATCCTGTTTCGAGACTTTGAAAAAAATCAAACAACTAGTATTCACCCGGCAAAGATTATTCACATGATAGTTGTTATACCAAACAAGTGCACAAGAACTTTTGCTTGGCAATAACTCCACGAGAAATCTAAAAAAAAAATAAGCTACGGAAATGAGCCCGGACAATGTTGTTTGTCTTCTTCTGCTTTTGAGACTTGTGGTATCACAGCACTTTGCATATGAGCGTTTGTAGACCGTAACGCCCTTTCCTCCACGGGTATGCCTCGTAAAGAGATTTAATTGTTTTGGAAACCATGGAAACGGCACGATTAATAGGGATATTGTGAGATACAGCTCGTAGGCACAAGTTTTAAAACGTCTATGAGTCTAGTGGTTCACTTGTGGTTATATGTTTGTTGTCTGTACGGTACACTGTGTCTCCTACCAGTGGGTCACGTGGTGCTCGTCCGTTTTGCAATCGACTCATTTATTAACGACAATAATAACATAATAAAAAACAATTAATAATAACAATAACATGAAAAAATTATATCGACTTTATAACTGGTATCATGTTCAACTATTTTCATAGAAACAAAAAAAAATACAATATTTATAATTACAGATGTTCCCTTCAAAATAAGAACAAAACACAAATTAGCAATAATTTGGAATCTATTAAAAAATATTTATATTTTTGCTCATAGATATTTATGTGTTTTTGCAAAACATAGAGCAATTCTGTTTGGTGACCAATAAGTACAATACCGCGAGTTAATCTTTTCTAATATATTGTGTCATGCGCATTCCCATATGTATCAACATCTGCGCACGTACATCTGCGCTGCGCATTTGAATTTTCCTTCCCCTAACCCGATTTGTTAGAAAAATCACATTTTCATATAAAAATAGTGTTTTTTGATTTTATATTTCGTTATAAAAATTTGATCGGAAGAATACGTCACAACGTTACAAATTTTGAAGTGGAATTCGAAAGTATGACGTTTGAAACACGAACAGCTGACACGGCGTCACCAAGGCCAACGACAAGGAGTCACTATAATGAACGTCGTCACACTTCCTCAAAAGTGGGAACACACTCATCCTTCTTGTAAGGCACCGAAAAGATCTTATCTATTTTGGAGAACTTCAACTTAAGTTAGCTGATGTAGGTAAAACACGCAAAACGGAAAGCTCACTTTCCTGTTTACCTTTTCATTGGTCTTCCAATCGCTGCCATACGATGTTCGTTTCGGTACGAGGGATAAAGTGCTATTGGATGACTTGGGAGTAGCGGTGATCGCAAAAAGAACCCCTGATCAAAATCTCGTTAAAAGTCCGACCGTTTCCGTTCGGCTATGACGTAGAGCTTGTGTTGATTTGGGTCGTAACGAGATTGACGGGAAGTAACACCAGCCCCTGTGGTCACTGATTCACCCTTAACGTCATGATGGCCAAGAGCACTTAAAGATGCGAGGTATAAAATTCAGGCGGCACTTTGACGATTGACAAAAGCGCACGCATCTCTGGCAGAACTAGTAAACTTTGCCTAGTGTCGAGTGACACACTGACTCGCCCAGTGGAGTAGCCAGTGAGAAAAAACAGGTCTTCATACGCATAACGTACTGGAAACTACATAACTGACTGTTCGGAATGTTCTTAATAGCCATCTCGTTGCTGTTCTGTTTGCCCTTACAGAGGTACACCCAATTTATCTTTTCTTTAAACGGTGCTGTATGTCACGTCGCTTGTCTGCCACATCTTACAACTTGGCTGTAACGCGTTTGTAAATGTTTTAAGTGTTTCACCATGTGTAGGCCATGTGACGAGCGTAGTTTATTTGAGAGCAAAGTTGCAGAAGCCTGCTTAGTGCACGTTTTTTCGTGGGTGAGTTACAGCAGCTGTAGCGAATGCAATTTTCTTTTTTTTTCTCTCTCTTAGGGGTTACGGTAATCCCGTGATGACGATGCAGACTCCAACACCGCAAGTGAAATACGCTGAATTGGACGCAAATACGGTGTGCGGCATGGTACCGGGGTTTCGTAGGAAGCAGCACAGGATATGCATGCGTACACCGGGTCTGGTAGCCAGCGCTATCCAAGGAATGATGGTTGCCGTCCACGAATGCTCCTACCAAATGAGGGATCGGCGATGGGACTGTACTTCGCTGGAGGAAAAAAAGCAAAATCCATTTGTGAACCCTATTATGGGAAAGGGTAAGCTTTCATTTTATTTTTTTACATTTATTGCTATCAGCCTGGGAAAGTGTAATGTTAGTATTGATAACAAATACTAGAAACAATTTCGTTAGTCAATGTATCGGCAAACATCAATAACGCTCGGGTTGAGATAGAGAGTGAAAAATGGTTGTTATCATAATATTGTATGCAGTGGGTCGTTCGGATATATTTCTAGAAACATAAAACTGGACATTGGCATAAATATCCACTACATACATATATTAATATCCACGACAAGGAGTCACCATGTGACCCGTTGACCATTGGGCGAGCATACATATTATTACGTTAAAACTAGTCCCGCTTTGCTTCCAAATCTAAAAAATCACGAAATACTGTGATAATCACGATTCCTGCCCAGAAACCCTGTTGTTAAGTTGTTAAAACATTTCATCAGATCACGTGTCCGGGACACGTATCCACCTAGAGTAAAATACCGATATACGTAAAGTGGTTAGATCCGTACGTAGAGTCAGCGATAACAATATAGGAACCAGCGAGAAAGAACTGAAATCCGTAGAATAATAAACCTCAATGGTTTTGTTCTTTATCGGCACAGTGCTGATGTTTAGCCAAACTCAATCACATCACAGTTCTCATATTCGACACTTTAGTACGATAACGTTATTTATTAGTTCTGGGCACCGTGTTTGATAGCCTATGTCGGCAATTCGTTTTTATGTAGGGCTCACGTTATGTCTCAAAGTGTCGAGACCAAATTACTGGATATCTAGACTATGTACATTTCTCTACCATATGTCAACGCGCAAATTAAGCCAGGCGCAATTCTTTTATTTATCCGTCAGCGGCGAAAGTACCGTAAGAATGTGAACGTGAATTACCGTGAAACTATTTTGAACAAGTTCGAACTGCGCAGACTCTAAAAAAAAATACGCGGCTATTATACTATACGGTGGTCCTCGTTCCCACGGATTGATTGGCATTTTAAAAGATTTAAATGTTGTTACATTTTTTTATGGTCAAGACCTTGAGATTTGAGAGTGGCTGAAGTTGTCCTGTAACCCGCATTAAGCTTTGCAGAGATATTACAATGACGCTTATCTTTTCTAAGTTGCGTTTCAACACGTAAGCACCGGAATGAATTATGGGAGCTCGTGTGACGTAATAATATGACCCGGATAACAAAATAAACATACGGCATATTGCTCCGTGCACGCCACTTCGTATTAACGTATTGTAAACAACATGGCTTCAAGTTCTCATCTCAACCCTGGTCATCCCACCCACACATACTCTGACCATATCACGTACTTGAATCATCGTGCTCCGAACTCACTACATCAACTCCGTAGAATAGAACGCTGTAAAGCGGTATTCGTTGTTTTGTCGGAGAAACGTAGTTAGAAGCCCTATCAATTTTTAGTAACTTGGTAAAAAATCAAATCTGAAAGTTACAGCATTATTACAGTGTTGCTGCGTTTATTTATCTTTTTCACTACAAAAACAAAACTCCCGTCATGCATTGCTGTTCGAATGCACTGATGCGCGTTATGACTAGAAGCGCACAATACTCGAAGTTGGAAGTTCACTCGGACGCAGTGGTAACTTAAATAAAATAGTTGTTCTATACAACCCAAAAAAAGAAACCTAATGGTACAAGAAACAACTCAACAGTCCGTCTCATATCTTAGACTAGTTTTACTGGAAAATGCATCACATCGAGCATTGGTTCAGTATAATATTTTTTTCACAATCGTCGAACAGAGAATCCTAGATGACACTTTAGGATGCTAAAAATTCAATCACTACCGAATCCACGGAACTGCTCGGGATATTCGAATATTACCAAGAAACTTCTGATGTGAATATCTTGCGAAAATCATAACTGTTGCGTATATGACAGTACATGTATTACTTGACACGTCAAACAAAACAAAACTTTAACTTCACGTAAAGTAATGCCACGGTTATCCCTAATTTGGCCCGTGACCCCAATTGTTTCTGCACATATGACCTTCATGGCAATAAGCAATCTATTCGCAAAATATAAACAAATTCCAATGACTTTCATGAAACAGCAAACTTAACGATACTTTTAAAACCGCTACTGGATAGCATTTACCAAGGATGGCGGCGCAAACCAAGTCTTGCTGTGGTAGAATAACGAGTATTTATTTTCCCACAATCGACATTTATTGTGAAATACTAAATAATGTCATGACTTGAAATATACATAAATGCCATTATTATTGGTGTACATAAATCATTTGCCACTTCCTGTGCACATTACATGTAGTTTAATGTTGTTGGTTACTAATTTACTTTAATAAATACAGAACTATATTTGATTTAATAAATACTAAATAGTGCAATAGAAATCCATGTATACGTATTTAAGTAGTATTCGATTTTAATTTGAATGTTCCGAATACATTAAACAAGTACGATTCTGCAACACACACATAAATACATTGACTGCGATGTACTGCCCTACCGCCAGAATCCTACTTTTTACAAGTCAGTACGAAAATGAATAATGAATAAATTTTGCGAAAATTTGCACCCTTTTAAGTGCTTTAACGTAAGATATCAGCATTTCCCCGTTAAATTTGATGGCTTGAACAACGCGTTTTGATGATTGTATCTATACCATGTCTATAATGAATGTTGATTTCCACACTTTTTCACACCCCCCCCCCCCACACAATTCCATATATTAAGGGTTTGCGGAAGAAGTATGCCCATGGGAGTGTAGCGAAAAACTAGGCCGATGCGTAGTCAATAAAACCTTTGAAACATTTGACTCTCACGGCGTTGTTGTCGAAAACAAACGTGACGTCATTATGATGGTGTTATCTTTGATAAATAATTGCAAGTACTCATTGATACACGTATCGTCACCTTTATATAATTGCATTACAGACTAGCATCTTTTCACAATTACGAACACATCGAAAAAATTATCGACTAAATGCAAAAACCTTGTTTTGTAAAACACATTGTCACGTGATTAAATGTTTTTGCAAACACTAACATCTGGAGAATTTAACTTTTGATCAACTGGGATGAGATGTCAAAGGTCAGACTCATCATCACAGCATCGCTACCGGCGATAAAACCGACTGGCATAATTGCCTGTGTAGGCTGTAGAGGCCCTAGTAGAACATGTCATCGGCTTTGTAAGTTTGCTTTATCTGTAAGCGTTCATAATTCCACTGGTGATGGATATTTCTTTTGTTTGTCGTGGTACTTTTCATCGTATGCTATGCGCTGCTTTGCAGGGTGGCCACCCGAAAAATGTCTCGAATGTCTATCACTCGGGTTCGAAGCATAAGGCCTGATTTGAAGAATAGTGAAAATCGATTTATTTAGGCCTTAGATTACATCGATTAGTCCAAGAATTATCAAAAAATCTGAAAACTCCAAAATAGCACCCGTCTTTGGTATGAATCACATTCTTTGGAATTATATCGAAGATATATCATGTGGTCGGCACCCTCTGTATAATTTTAATAGGAATGCACCCGCCAAGGCGTGGGGTGATTGGGTTAATTCTTACCCTGCCTGATTTTACGATATGTTAACATTTTGCACCACCTCTCTTAAGCCAGCATTCTACGAACACCGTCTTTCTTTAACGTTGGGATGCTCAGTGCTATGTGTATATATGTAAGTGGATTGGTGGTTAGTGTTCTTTGTAGCTCTAAGCCTGGTGACATTTCCGGGGACAGCGAGTTGTAAAAACTCATCGTGCACATAAACACACATCCATAACTCACGTGTTCTCAGTGAGCGCAGATTATGCAAGTTGTCACAAGAATCCTCCCGTGCCTTTTTAATCGGTCGCTATGGCAACAAATGTGTCTGGTCAATAAAACAAATGTAATTCTAGATTTTTATGATATCTGGGGGAGGGGTTCCCTGGATAGTGGAGAGAGCAGATGGGTGAAGTAAATTTGCAAGTCAGCGAAATTGTGCTCCGACATTTGTTAGATACGACACCGTTCGAAATATAGAGCAGAAGTGCGGCTGCTGCTATGCCAACGCCATATGTCAAGTATAAGTCAGAGGAAAACCAATTCATTATAAGAAAGAACATTAATTGTGTACATATTACGGCATATCAACGATTACAAATGTACGGTGTCCTTTGTAAATTCAATTGAAAAAAGGAGCAAACTGTCCGGAGACGTGCATGTGTATGTGGACAAATTTTGCCCGCTGTACGACAAAGATTTCCTTTCTGAGTTGGTCAGCACACCAAAACATATTTTTCGTAATAAATAAAGTACGAATATTTTTACACTCATTGGTGGAAAAAGTGAAACAAGTCGATTGATCTGACAGCATTTTCCATATATGTTATTAAGTTCAATTTAAAAAAATTCAATTTCCAATACCCCCCCACCCCCCAACAACCAACACCTTGATGTCGACCAGCCATAGGTTCCCAATATGCCACGAGTATCGGTATTCGAGTTCAAATGTGGATCATTTTATTTCAATATTAAATAGGTTCGATTTTTTCATTTTCGAATACACATGTAGCGGATACACTGTTTCAAATTCACAATTACAGGTCACTGTCAATTACACGGCCATGTCATACACCACGTATATGTATAGATAATTAATACCCGTTTCTGAGCAAGGGACCAGTATATTTAGATTTTAAACTTGATATTGGGATATTAAACTAGATGTTTTAATGTTGAAGGTACTACTGTACTGCATTGCAAATCCCGAACAATGTAAATTGGCTGACTGACACATTGAAGTAGAAGCCTAGTCATAGTTTTTGACAAAATTGGTCATAAATCGCATGACAATGTTCATTAGTTTAGTATGTACAATCATGAAGCTAATGTCGCATGGTAAAATGAAATAGCATTATTTTGTGTGTTACAGTTAAGCTTTTTGAGAAATGTGTCCTAATATTTCTTGAACAGTGCTATTTTTAGAACAATTCCATAGAACACAATGTTAAAGAAAAATTGCATTTTTAACATTTTTTCAGAACAACAAAAATATTTCATCATTAACAATATATGATTTTTTCAGCCTATGCCACCAGGTTAAATTTTGAGATATTGCATAATATCTCTGCCATAGAAACCTGTGGTAAAAGCGTTATAATAGTGTCAAAATGACGACTTTCCACTAAAATATAACCATCAATTTCTCGAAAAAAAGCTGGTGACCCCCAACTTTTTTTGGTCAATATCCTTGTATTACCTTGGAGTACAATTTATTGCAAAATGAATAAATTCTGTTTTTTTTAATTTATGAGTAGGCTTCTTCCTTAAATGTTGTTGCTACCACTAAAATCGGCGCTGTTCCGATCAAAAGTGGGTTCTGTGATATTTCAAACTCCGACCAGTTTCTACTAAAAAAGAAAATAAATCTGAATGTGCCATTCTTTCAAATGCATCTATTTAATAACAACTGAACCGTGACGTTATTTCGCTCAAATGATGTGATATGAAACCTCACTAAAGGAAAATACATACCGTCAACTCGAACAGTAGTAATAAATTTGACTTAGCAGACGACATCATATCATGTTCCCGCGTTTTGACGTCACGGAAAAAAAAGAACCCAGTAAATTGAACTTACGTGAAAGTTGAATGCCGTAAATAAATAATGCCTGACCTCTAACGCCCCGTCCTACTTATGACGACACGCTGACGTAAGAGACATTGTTTTGTATTAAAACCCGTTACTGTTTGCGAGTCTTGGTGGTGAATAATAAAAACGTTACGATACCGAGCGAATAACCCGATATTTATGTGGCGTTGCTAAAGATGCACGGCCGATATATTCGTGACGCAGTAACCCTAAAAACGATAAATTCAATTTACTTGTTTTCGTGCTTCGCAAAATTAGTGGACACCGAAACGGAAATTAACTAATTAACTGGCGTGTTTTCACACGTACAAGTTGATTGGACTGGAATTCGATCGTTCCTAATCTTTATTATCATGGTGCAACCCACGAAACTCATACACTTTGCTGTCGTCTGTGGGTTTTTTTTGTTTCTCAAAATACGAGGCTATTAAGCATCAATGCTAAAACAGGTACAGTCACATCCCCGTAAACATACTGTATAATTTATGCTTTGTTGTTTTGATATCATGATGACGTGTTACAATTATTTACCAAAACATTATAAATTCACTATAATTGTCTCAACATGTAGGTCAAAATTATTTTGAAAAGAAAAAAAAATAATAAAGTATAATATCGCAGTTCCCAGGAATTTAAAGAAATAAAACCATGATGCCATACTCTGGCAAGTTTTAATTAATTCGTATGACTGAAAAACGAGAACACGACTCCAGGGCGTAATGAAAACTCAATACTCAATGTTGGTCCGTTCCGTTTTTCATACTATTGCGTTTGTTATTTTATTCACGACTGATTTGACTGCAGAATAAAAAATAATGCGTTTAACGCTGGGTAGTTCACCCCCCCCCCCCAAAAAAAAACAAAGTTAACGCCGCGAACAGTGATGAAGACGGTATGTCTGAAACAAGAGTCAAACCAAAACCAAAAAATGCTTCACGGATATACAATGTACTCTTGTTGGTTATAGTGGGTTTTCAACATGTGCTCTCCAGGACCAGTTACGACCAATTTTCTTTGTGATCTGTCGTCAACAAACATTTGCAGAAGAAAAACAAGCACCGTATTAGATGCGAGTAGATGCTTAGATATACACTGTAACACAAATTGGAATTTAAACTTTTAACTTACAAGTACAGAATTGATGGAATTTAACTAATTAGTTACACGCTAACAATGAGGGGGACATGGTCACATGTTTCTCTGTATGCTTGAACAAACTGAAGTGTCTGTATTCGTCACTTTATTTCAAGCATTTGCTCGTGAATGCATTTTGCAAACTAGCGGTAATCGGCTAATCGCCGTTACTTCCACTTGGAGTTAACGAATGCGTTCCACCTCGACACAGTCACGCATGCACCAACCCAAACTTTACATTATTTCTCCAGAAGCCGTGTGATTTTTGGTGGTTCTTCGGTGGGCGTGTGATTTCGGTGGCGGTATGTCTTTCGACCCCAAGGGGCTAGCGGTGGAGTCAATTTTCAAAATATTACCGAAAGCTTGAGTTTGAGTTGTGTGTTTGTTTGTTTTAAGGTATACTATTTGGAGAATTACTGGACCCTTAAACAGCTCATTATGACTATCTGTAGACAGCTTTTTACCATATTGTTGTTCAGCTGTTCTCCTCCTGCGTTTTTTTTTTTACCAGCTATTCCACTTATATTGCTGGCCATTTTCGGATCGAAAAACACAATACTATACAAAAACAAACTCTGGAGACGTAAAACACGGGGATAACACGTACGAGTGACGTAAATGTTATACACCACCACTGACCGCGGTGGTGCCTTGTCTAGTTTACCCTATGTATGTGTTTTGTATGACTAGTTTGGGTCTTAGAACAACAAAAACAAACTGCAGATGACTATAGGGAATCAAATGTAGAGAACGACAAATGTACTTACCATATCTCTGAAATTGGTTCAGGACCGACTTTTCTGGAATTACCGATATTTTCAAAACAAAACACTATATTTTCACGTATTTAAACCATATTTACGATCCAAAAACAGATTTGTTACACACAAAAAACAGTGTACATGAATAGGAATTGGTATACAACAGCGAACCATGTCTTGTAAAACTTAGATACAGAACCCGGCGACTCCGTGCATTGGTGCCGCTCACGAATTAACATGATTTTCGAAAAATTAAAAAAAAAACTCTGGTTGAAGCAAATTTGAACTGAAATGAAATTTAAATGTGTATATATTGTTACAGTGGTTTTGATATTCTATCTTAATAAACAAAATGATAGTCATTCATTGACAGCGAAGCCATACATAACAATTTAAAAGAACTATATTTCGACTATAATCATGAAATCGAACACGAACATTTTAAACACCATAAAACATTCTTACGATCTTAAAAAAAAAAAACAGCGCAAATAAAACATAATGAATTCTTCTGGCACCCCTATAAAAATGGAATGACTGGCGCCTACAGTTCGATTGTGAGTTTCCTCCTAAATGATCCGCTCGAGTGCAAACTCAGCCAAGCGTTCGTCACTGGGGGACAGAGTCGACCTGAGCTCCCTGGGAGGCCCCGCATATTACCGGAACTCTACCAAGCGTGCAGTTTACAATTGACCGTTAAGAGGACGTCCCGGTACGGCCCCTTCCAAAGAAGGCCACACCAAGCGAATTTTGACGAAGATTTTCTGGAACATCAAAGCTTTGACATCATAACGTCGGGAATACGCCAATCTTATAAGAAGCATTTTTTGGGATGCGTGAATTATATGAAATTAAATTGTAGCTGACGTTGATATTTTCGGGTCACGGCCAAAATCATCTTTCTCAAAATATTTTATCTACACATGTGAAAAATGTTCTCGTTGAAATGATGACGTGTCAAGGTTGTATTCATTCGTCCGTTAATTCGTATATGTGTATCTCATATTTACGTTTTTTCCTCTCTCTTATCTTCGAAGGATACAAAGAAACAGCCTTTGTACATGCCATCGCATCAGCCGGGGTGGCTTTCCAGGTGACTCGGTCATGCGCAGAGGGAAGACATCCAGCCGATTGTGGTTGCGATAAAACGTCAAGAACAGCGCCACCTGGAGTTGATTGGAAATGGGGCGGATGTAGTCATAATGTGGACTTTGGAGAAGAGTTTGCCCAAAAATTCTTGGATATCAGAGAGAAAGGACGTTCAGATGTACATTCGAGAATAAATTTACACAACAACGCAGCAGGTCGATCTGTAAGTGTTTAACCCTGCATGTCCCGCATACATTATAGGACTTCGTGGGCAAGGGGTCAGAGGTCGTGCCAAAAGGTTGTCACATACTATATTCGCGGCATAAATTATCAAGTTTTGATGCTTCTACTGTGATAAAAATACACATTTAAATATAATATGACAACTGACAACATATAGTCAGATTTTAAAAACTGAAAGAGCAATATCACAGTACTAAGTCGAAACTGATTAGTAATATCAGTAATAATTCTGGTGAATTATGGCCCAATTAATTATCGAATCTTGAAAATTAAAAAATATGTAGACATTTAGAGTCTTTGATGTACTCTCGTGCTCAGATTTTCAGAAATCTCATCTCAGTGAAATTCATCACGAATCTTTTCATGTTGATTCTCTGTAATCTCATTCACAAATCCGGATTTACAGGCGACGCCTATGCCAATTCTCGACATGTGGCATAGTGCCACAATACGATGCTATAATCATAATTGTTGTGTTTGTTTTTTATTACTCACAGTGCGCTGTGATGATTTAAAAAAAATACATGCCTCTGTGCCGAAATGTTTTATTGAAAACAAATATTCGTCAATATCATGTCACATTTACACTTTGGACCATGCCTTTGATGAAAGTTTGTCCCGTTCATAATGATTGCTCCAATTCTCGGCGACTTGGGTGGTTACGGTCGTTTGATAGCCCATATACTTGTACACACTCAACTTTTAAAATACTCACTCAAAACAATACTTTTTTTTTCAGATTGTTTCGAGATCGCGAGAGAAAATGTGCAAATGCCATGGACCATCTGCAAGCTGTCAGATAAAAACCTGTTGGATGTCCACACCTAAATTTAGAGAAATTGGTAACATTGTCAAACAAAAATACGACAGCGCAATTATGGTGTCACCGGACAATAACGACGGACGGACGTGGTTTCCATCGAATCGAAACCGCCGAGCGAAAGTGGCTGACCTCATGTATTCTGAACGCTCGCCAGATTTCTGCGAACCAAGTGCTTTTCTGGGCACCCCCGGTACCAGAGGGCGCTCGTGCAACAACACAAGCACGGGAATGGACAACTGTGATAGTATGTGCTGCGGACGAGGCTACAATATTAAATCTAGCTCGAAGGTGGAAAAATGTAACTGTGCTTTTCACTGGTGTTGCTTTGTGACGTGTGATGACTGTGCGACGTCGCAATGGGTTAATGAATGCAAATAATTTGCATAATCTCACACTCGTGCGATTTACGCAATCATGTGATGTCGGTGCCGCCTGTAAGTCGTGATGCTGCGTTCAGTGAACTCTGGAAAATGTTACACTCAGAGGCAACCACGAGCTATTAATACTTACACATCATCACTGACGGCAAGACACAACATGTCTGCATTGTATTAGATGGGTCACGTTTCTCTCGCATCATCGGTTATCACCAATCCGAGAACAATGGATGACATTTAACATGCATCGGTTAAATTAACATATTCCGAACGCCCACGTCGTTCTGAATATTGAAACTCAATTATTTTAATTTTTTTTGCGAAATTTAACAAGATCGCATGACATTTTATTATGCTGTGGAAAGTTGTTGTTTATTCTAATCATCTGTCGACACATCACGTGTGAGATAAGTGACGTATGTCCAAAGTGCTGATAAGTTGACCCGAAAGACTGTGGTGTAATATGATTCAATGTGGAACACTCTGATATAAAATGATTGAAAGAGGAACATTTTAATATAACACCTGATTGATATCATGATTTGTAAAACGGAACTTGAAAGACTCGATGATTTATCATGATTTTTAGAGGAATGTATGAATAGATTGATATAAAATAATACATTAAAACAATGTGGTGATATATATATATAT